ATCGTTATTTTCATTGCTTCCGCTATCGTTACTCGTTACACCTTTATTATTACTGTCGTTATTTTCATGAACACCCTTTGAATCAGCGTTACTTATTGACTTTACACTGTACTTGTTATCACTAGAATAGTATTCCACTCAACAATAAATCGCAAGTTGATAAAACTGAACGAACTTCGATAAACTTTTGCTGAATAATATTTTGAAGGTATTCGATGAACTGATGTTGATTAAGTGGCTGCATAATAAGAATAAGTTTTATGGTTGCACACAATCTCTCGATATTATCATCAGATGGCGTCATTCTATTCAACAGTATCAGATTAAGACACTAAAAAATAATCATTTTTCTCAAGTGAGTGTTGTCAAAGCGAAATAACAAAAATTTGATAATACGTTAGCATTTGCTTTATGGTTGCATAACGGAATTGCGGAGAAGAGAAGAAGTCAGATCCAGATGTATTTGTTCATCGCCGTCCTAAATTCATCACCAAAACTTCAAATCAAAGAGAAAAACTCAGAGATTTTCCCCAAAATAGAAAGAAACAAGCTGACTAGGTCATATAATTCGCCAATTCACAATCAGTAATAACATCAATTACTCAACAATTGATTAGAAACGGCAAATAAGCACTTGGATTGAAATAATAGAGAATGACATTAAAAACTACTATTCCATAAATAGCAATTTAGTATCAAGGCGATGAGCTAGCTCAACGTGGATCGGTTTCACCCAGGATATCACCCGAAATGGCCAGAAAGATGTTGTCCGAAAACAGCGCGTAATAATAACAGAGATCACAGATCAGCCTCATAGTTAGTCAGCGGTCAACGAACGGCGAAGATCTAAAATTCGTCATAAAAAACACCCACGTTATCATAGATAATGTTGGGTTGAATATGCTTTGCATTCTCATTTGGATACTCATTGGAAGTATCGCATCAATACTGAATCAAAAAAATCCTCACATTCCGAACAGTGTTTTTATCGAACCGAAGTGAAGTTTTTTGAATGTCTGATTGTTTATCAACTAACTGGTGGAAATATTTCGTGGATGTGTACAGCAACCATTTATATGCTTTTATCGAGCCATCAACGCATTCAATTATGAAATCACTGCAATAATGCATAATTTTTTTATCAAATCAGAGTACAGTAAAATAAATTCCACCCAAAAATTTAAACAATGCAGTGGCATTGCATGCTACTGTGTAGATAACGGCGCAGTATTTGAATGCTGAGAATGCACATCGATTTTTTTTTTGATCCAATAAACATTTTACCCAACGGTATTATGAGGTTGAACAAAATTTCTATAATCGAACTGCCATATGCCAAATGTAAGGTATCTGAACAATTCATTCCTAATTTCCTCCGCCATTCTTTGAAAATATTTTGTAAACTTCTAATCTTAAGCAGTGGACTTTAATAGTAAACATCAACTGACGAACAATCCATTATTTCTCATTGCGGAATATCTCGACAACAACGCTAGTCTCATAAGAAGGCTAACAATCGCTGAATGAATGAAAAACAGGAGTGATTCGTTCCAGTAATAACTTGGATTGAGCTGTTATGCCAGCATGTTTCATTCGTAATAATTTTTATGTGGTAATCCTTGATAAATCATAATCAATAATAAATACGTATTATAATAAACACCAAAAAACGTGAACAATTT